TTATATTTAGCTTTTAGATGACTAATGGGGTATATAAACATAAAAAACATGTATAATTTATGTGAAATATGAACTACCAGGAAACAGTTGAAAAATGTTTCTTAGGTAAACAGAAAATGTTGAAAAATGATCGAACATAAATTTTATAATGAGTTTCTTTCTTAAAATTTGTTAATAGGCTTGTGACAATAAGAGAAAATGTAAATTAAAATTTAATTAGAAATCATGGGATTATTACAAATAGTTGAAGGGGAACGGGGTGATAGATTTATTGTCTCTCAACTTAAAATCGTAGTCTGTTATTCTCTGTTTGTAACTTTTTTGGATTTAACTCTGGAATTCAATGGAGCTATTGAGAGGATAGAGTCAATGGCATAAGTTAATGAGGAGAGACAATGGCAGTCTTTTTTTTTGTTTACAATTCTCCTAAGGGCAACTTTCATTCATTCATCACGACAATGGAATCAATTAAAGAAATAAATTAAAATTAAAATTAATGACTTAAATAAATAATTAATAATGAGGAGAGATAATGGGAGTTACTCAAAGAAATAAACTCGAATTTGAATATGGGAATTAGTGAAATAATGAGAGAGATATAAAATAGATTTGATTTTGAAGTCATAGAGAAATAGGGAGTGTAGTATTGGCCAATACAAGCCAATACAGGTGGAACTGCGTGGGAGAAAGAGATGGAAATTGGGTTGAAATGCAAATTAGAGGTAGGGCTGTTCATAAGAAGGCTCGATCCGATCAAATCGACCAATCTGAGTCAGTCGGGTTTTCATCAGCATTGATCGATTTCGGATTGTACAAATTCATAAATCGATGGTTCGGATCGGTTTCGGTTTTATTGTGTGAAAACCGAAACCGACCCGAACCGAACCAACTTAGTTCTTACTTAACTAAAAACTGAAATATCTGAAAAATATATATTCCAATATCTATATCTAAAAAATATATATTATGAAATATGTCAGATATATATTTTCAGAAAATATATATTCCAATATATTTGTATGTATATTTTTGTTTTTATATATATATGTGTATTTCTAAAAAAATACATATTTCAGTTTTAAATATATTTCCAAAAAACTAGGTGGCCATGGGGGGCATGGATGAACTTAGAGCCGAAACCGACCCAACCCGACTCAAACCGACCAGGTCGGTTTTGCTTAACACTGGGTTGATTTCAATTTCCATCTCAGGTAACCTGACCAGGTCGGGCCAGTTGGAAAAACCTCAATAAACCGACCCAACTCGACCCGTAAACAACTCTAATTAGAGGTATTCATTATATGGTCCAGACCACGGAATTGGACTAGAGAGAGAAGTATTCATTTAACATTTAAACATATTACATAACTCTTTATTAAGTAAATATAATAAGATTTGAAACTATTAACCATTAAACACCTAATCAAACAAAACAATTAAACATAATCTCCGGCCAAAAGATTCAATTTGATATTTGAATTATATTTATTATTATTTTGATTTTAACTTATAATTAGATGTCGAAAGCCATGCTTATGTTCAAGAAATTGTGAGCGTACTTATATTTGATATTTGAATTATATTTAATATTTATGCAGGTATATATGTTATTTGGGCTTTTTAATTGAGTTAAGCCCAATAGAATATTCCAAACTGTATTAGAAACGAGGCCAGACCATAATAAAATAATCTAGTCTTATTTGATTTCTATACTAAAATGGTTTGGTCTGATTTGAGAATTTCCCAGATCATAATTTTTTTGATTCAGTTTAAAATATTCTTCAAAGTAGAGTGAGCCGGACTGTAGACACCCTAATACAGAGGATGACTCCAATGAAATGATTACCATTTCAATTATATTATATTATATGAATAATATAATTATATAGTCTAAATGTGTGCGTGTGTGTATGATGACATGCCACGGGCTGATCCATCTTTGGGTTGAACAGCTGACTGCAATCCAGAGGGAAAAATGGTTCAGCCTTGAGTCCATTCTTAAAATACATACATTAAATCTACTTTCACTTGCTATCATCTATGATTTCCTAAAGCTCAGTTTGGAAGAAGTACAAATACAAATATGCACAGTGCAAATAGATACAAAATAATATAACATATAAAGTTTTGCACTCTACATATTTATATTTGCACTCCTTCCAAACTAAGGTTCAGTTTAGAAGGAGTACACATGCAAATAGGTTTTGCACTCTACATATTCGCATTTGTACTCCTTCCAAATGGAGCCTTAAGTTTTTATTACCTTTATTGCATTGGTATCTATATATTTTGATCTTCTACGTGTTGTGTGCCAATGATCTTTTCCAATTGTTTGCCCATCCTTATTCTTTGACGCATCACAGTGTATTTCCAATTAATGTCATGTAAGAGGATGCCAAATGACCCATATTTGGTATTTCACTTTTCAGCTTGTTGTTTTTACTTTTGTAACTCATTGCACATTGTTAGTGTTTTATCTCTGAGTTTATAACTTGATAAATATTTTGAATCGTTGGTATTTATTCATTAAACATTTATATTTGATTTATTTGTAAAATTGAAAAAAAACAATAATAAACCCATTTATTGATAAACCGTAGGCATTTAAGCTTCCTCCAATGAAAAACGTACACAAAAATCAAAGCCTGCTTTTGCAAGTCTTTATATGTATAGATTGCACATAATGTAGAAATAATGAATCAACACCTATGTAACAGCATTTATTGAATAAACGCCTAGGGTTCCATTAGTCATGTCATTTAATATTATAAGAATCTTATTTTTGTCCGATAGTCTTGTCATTTCATCCAACTTTATTTCTTTCTACATTCTTCTCCACCGGTATGAGAACTTGGTCCCCATTTTTAGGTATAGGGCATTGGTCTTCATTTTTTTTTTCTCTTCGTAGATCATACATTCTAGATTTATTCTTATTCTTTGATAAAAACCTAAGTCCTTCCCCACGTGATACAGAATTGCCAACTGAATTAGTCCAATGTCATGAATAGATTTTTTTGGGAAATCTATACAATATAATGCAGATGCTTTGTTTGGTGTATTTGTATCATATGATGCATGCCAATTGCCGGGTATTTTTGTTAAGAGCACAATATGTTCTATAATTGGTAAATAAAATAAAATTTGAAATTTCTCCATCTCCAAACATGGCCCCCCTGAATCAATGCACAGATCCTACAATAAAATTAGCGTAAATTACAAGACAACAATCAATGAACCGACCTTACATAATACTTTTATAATGGTAAAAGGAATTTAAATTTGAATTTTCTTGATATCAAAACATGGCCCACAATTAATGTGCCAACCTTACCTAGAAATTAGGATAAATTAGAGATAGCCATCCTCTACTTTGGGGGTGATAACAATTAGCCCTTCAAACTTTGTTGATGCGGTGGTTGTTTTTGGCGGTCTTTGGCATTGATACCGTACATTGATGTTACAGTGCTACATTATTTGTGGGCATTGAATATAAACTAATGCTGAAAACGGTTATATAGCACCGGAAAACAGCTTGTGGCAGCATCGATACCAAATAAGAAAAGGAGCTATTTTCTGGGAAAACGGTATAATAGAATAGATTTTTATGCATATATCACCATTTTCTCAAAAATATCTTTGAAACAACGGCATCATGCCAAACACCTACTTTGTTTTCAAAAACAAAATCAATCATATTGTGAAACACCCCCTTAGATTCCAACACTTTGCCCTTGATCCACTAACAGTATTGATGATGAGAGTATTGGTGATGTGGTGGCTGTTTTTGCTTTCAAAAATAAAAACAACTATGTTGCCCTTAAATTCCAACACTTTGCCCCTAACCCACTAATTGTATTGACAATGAAAGCAAAATGACTAAATTGTTTATTCAAATTTTTATAGATTTACAACAATAACGTCAAAATTATGAAAATAACTATTTTAAAGTATAAATCATTCTCAAGGTGAACTTGTTGAAAGAAAGTTGAGAGAAAACTGTGAGAGCTAGGGTTTTAGAAAAATTAAATTAAAAGGTTATAAACATTGTTACAAAATATTTAGATGTTTAGAAATGTTTAAAGAAATATTCCATGAAGTTAACTAATAAAATGTTAATGGTAGGGGCAAACTGGTAGAGTACAAAAACTCAGGGAGGGTTTTTATCATAAAAAACGATTTGTGGGCTAAGAATCCCCCAAGCACATGTTGGTTGTCCAAAACTTACCCAAAGGCCCATTGACCAACATCCCATATGTTTAAATCCCTTTTCACTGCAATTAGGCACCACTGTTTACTTTATATCGTAACCTTCTTGCTGAAGAATTAGTGTTTTTCTTTGGATAAGTTATACTAAAAAACATTGTTGGAGAAGATGATGTTGTTGCTGGAGAAGAGGGATTTAGACTGCTGTCATTGTAATCCTTTTTTGTTATCATTGTTAGAGAAGAGGGTTTAGACTATTGTTATTGTTAGGAAAGACGAGTAATTCTTACCATCCCTAAGAAAGACAATCAAGGTAAACGGTCTTAAAAATATTAAAGGATAATTTTAATATATATATATATATATATATTTTTAAATTAAAGCGCACATATTATCATGTATATAATACAGATAACTAATAAACTGCAACAGTAAATATTAATTGATAATTTTCAAGAGTTCAAGCACGATAATGACACATTTTAAAGTTCGGGTGCTAAAATGAAATTAACCCAAATTATAATGTACTGAACTACTGATATGCAATTTACCCTAAAAATAGCATACAAGAAATAGATTCAATAATAAGGTTCAAAGTATCATACGATAGCTGTCATATATAAGGTGTATTGTACCACTTTTGATTCTTAATATAATTATTTACAGGTATTTTGGAAAACCTTCTTTTTTAAATAATATATAAAAATATATTTAAAACTGAAACTTAAAAGAAAAACTAAAAAATAAGAAAAAAAGTTTAAATTACCGATGCACTTGTGCAGATATACATACTTTGAACCATGCTCAGGGATGGCGAATTCACAAGGATGCCCAGTTACCTGTTACCATTTTTAACTACCGAATCAATGAATCCGAATGACCGATCATCTACCTACTCACAAAATCGTGTTCACAGCACTTGTCAACCGAGCATTGCTTTTTTAGGATTTCTAGTCTTCAAGGGTAGTTTTGATACTATAGAGTTTTCCTCTCTATTTAAACAGTAGACTGTGGTAATCGGCAATCCGAATGATCGGAATTCGGAAAAAGCAGTTTGCGAAACTAATAAACTGAAACCACACAGGATTATCTGATTTGCTCATCCTTTTTCCGGTAGAGCTTTGCTCATTTTGTTGCTCCGATGAATTCCCTGAATATGAAGACCCTGGCCGTTTCAACTCAATTTCTCCCTTCATGTAGACGTTTATCTCCAAAGGTTCCCATTGGCGCTGTTAACACCCGAAGCTCAATCAGCTCCCTGACTTCCTCTACTTCCCATTCCCATTCCCACTCCCGCTCATGTTTCCTTGCTTTGAACTGCTCAGCTATCTCTTCTCCGCCTTCTTTAGGTATTTCTCTCTACTTCAGAGAAAGAAGTTTCTCCTGAATTGAGTCTAGGAAAAATTTAGATTTCCATTTTTGTTTTCTTCCGATTTCTTTGCAATGTGATTTTTTTTTTTTTCTGGTTCCAATGCTTAGTCGACGAGGAGGCGGTGAAGTTTGCAGAAGCTTCAAAGGACGGAAACTTAGTTCCGCTCTATCATTGCATTTTCTCAGACCACCTGACTTCAGTGCTTGCTTACCGGTGTCTGGTTAAAGAAGACGATCGAGAAGCTCCGAGCTTTTTGTTCGAATCTGTCGAGCAGGGTTTTGGAGTTTCGAGTGTTGTAAGCTCCCTTCTTCCTTCGTTCCTTCATTCCTTCATTCCTTCCATTTCCTTCTTTCTTTTTGGAGTTTCTCTTTGCCTTCTGTCTTTATTAGTTCAGTTTTGAGTTCATTTTGTTAGGGACGATATAGTGTCATCGGAGCTCATCCAATGATGGAAGTTGTAGCAAAGGAAAATTTTGTTACAATCATGGATCATGACAATGGGAGTAGGATTGAGGAATATGTTGACGATCCGATGGTAATTCCTCGGAAAATCATGGAGAACTGGAAGCCCCAACGCATTGATGAGCTTCCAGGTGTATTTTGTGGTAAGCATAATAGGTCGATCACAATTGCATGCAATGCAAACAATGTAAACCCCCTTTTGGGTAATTTATCTTGCACGGTACGTGCATATTGAAAAATTGTTAATAGCTATTGGAGTTCCTGATTGTTTGGTTTCAACTTGATTTTTTAGTCCTGATTTCAGAACTTCAATGCTTAACTTTTGTGTTCTCTTTTTCACTGGTTTTTAATTTCATCTTCCAACTGTTAAACAACACTTGAATGGCTTACTCTCCTTGTGAATGATGCATGCAGTGTGAGTTTCGTCTTGATATGTGGATTATGAATTCCTTATGTGTTATGTTTTTTTCCCTATATTTCTTCTCTTCGATAAGGTACGGTATAATATATAAATCAAATTGTAAGAGCATGTACTGTAGAGCTCATGTACATGTATCTATATAGTCGGAGTGCAATATCAGTGCAGAGATACACAAACATAGAAAAAAAAGGAAGGATGGATTTCTCTGGATTCCCTGCAAGTGTAAGATAAGAGCAACTTGTACCCATGATGTTCCCCAGGACTGCTGGACAATTTAAATAGAAGGGTATTTCTTTTATTTCATACTAGCCAAAATATCGCAAATAGGAGGATGCTCCATAAGGCTTTTCCTCCTTCATTGAGGCCCTTTAAATGCCAACAAGGAGTCCCAGATTCATCTTGGGGAAGAAATTGGACTAATTTTGATTAGTATCAGGTTAGTCCTATTCTAACTAGACAATTACAAAATTTAAACAAATAAAATTAGGTTCTACTAAAACTTTCAACAAATGGATTTTTTTTTTTCATAATTTGACTCAGATAAGTAGGATATTTAGAGTAGTCTTTCCAAAATACCTCCTCCTCCTCCTCCTCCATATCATCATCTAAGTCTTATCCCAACTATATGGAGTAAGCTACATGAATCTTGTTTCACCATTCCATTCTGTTTAACACCATATGTCCATATCCATTGTTAAATTATGAGCAGTTAAATCATTTCTTACTACTTTGTCCCATATCCTTTTGCGTTTGTCCCTAGTCCTTCTAACCACTTCAACTTGTAATAGACTACATCTTATGGGTGCTGTAGGTGATTTTCTATGCATGTGACCAAACCATCTTAGTCTACTTTCTCTCATTTTATCACCTATTCTAGATACTCTTAGGTTCCTTTGAATGACTTTATTTCTGATGCTATGCTTTCTAGTTTTTCCATTCATCTAGCTCAGTATACACATTTTTGCCACTCATTTTTTTGGACATTTTTGGTTCTTGACTGTCCAACACTTTACTCCATACAGCATAGATGGACATGTTGCTTCTTTCCTAAATACCTTTATCCATAAATAACAAATCTAATCAAAATAAGTGATAAATGTTATTTATCATATCTAATTATGCAATATCCTATTAAGTTTCTTAGTTTTACTTTTTTTTTGATTGGAAACAAATGATTAAGATTTTATTGAAAGATATTCTAGTCTAAGAGTTACCAGCAACTTCCTAACAGAGTCATACAAGATAACCAATACCTAGGGCTTCAAATGGATCAGATTTAATCTGATTTGAATTTGAATCCAATTTATTAAGTTCGGTCTAGATATCAGTTTAGCCATGATTGGATCTGAAAATATGATATTAATTGGATTGAATTCAGATATTGCTTGATCTGATATGCTAGGATCTGATCCAATCCGATTATATATACATTATATAAAATTATTTTTTAGATGGTATTAAACAGAATGGAATGGTGAAACATGATTCATGTAGCTGGCCCCATATAGTTGGGATAAGGCTTGGATAATGATGTTGGTGATGAAGTGATGAAGATCAAGTAAAGAAAAGAAATATGGGAAATGCCCACTTCAAGGGTGAAGTAGACCTCCAGAAGAGCCTTAGCTTAGTTTTAGTTATCGTTTTTATTTTATTTTTTTTCATTCTTTACCAAGCCATATAATATCTAATGTTTATTGGTTAATTGGTCTTATTCTGTATATTAGTTCTGTTCCCAAAATAAAACTTATACCTAGCCTTCCAATCATATCCTAATATAAAAAGGCCATTACCCAATATTGCTCCTAGTTATCTGGGATCTTGGGATGGGTAGACTGGACATCATCCTAACCTCTGTTTTATTTATTTATTTATTTATTTATTTGCACAATGTGGCTGCTCTTAGACTCTAATCTGTGCTCTCATGCTTGCCAGACCAAAGTTTTACCATTATACCAAGTAATGGCCCCTAATATAAATCATATTCTAGGATGTTTAATTTAAATGATGCAGATATTTTCTTGCTACTTGATATAAGTTAACTACAATTATTAATTCTTAATAGGATCATTACAAAAACCTAAAATTTAGGCATTCAAAAAGATGACACGTGCTCCTTCTGATCTGGTGGTGATATGGTTTTCTAATCCATGTAGAATTTTCAATAAAATGATTCTAGAAAATTGCATGGAGTTAAAAATTTAGATGTAACTAGGACTACTAAAATCAGAGTTCAGTTTCTTGTCATTCTTTCTGATAATTTTGTAGGGTTTTAAGGGTTCATTGAGTACTTGTGTAGTTTTAGTCACTAGAGTCACTGAAAATGAGGTGGTGTTAGAGTAGTTTCATGCTACTTGGTCCATGAAATTGTTTGTCATTTATATTTTACTAATGATTTTTATAATTTGTGTTGTAGACATCTTCACAATGAGACAAGTCGTATAATGCAAAATAAAACTATTTTTGTTTCTCTACTCATTTCAATGCTGATCGATGTTAATTCTTGAAAAGGCATATTTGTAATTTGGTATTACTATGAACAGGTGGATGGGTTGGTTATTTCTCATATGATACTGTGAGGTATGTTGAAAAGAAAAAGCTTCCTTTCTCACGTGCACCAGAGGATGACAGAAACCTGCCAGATGTTCATCTAGGTCTCTATGACGATGTAATTGTGTTTGATCATGTAGAGAAGGTAATCTTACTCTGATCACTCAACTAAATTGAAGTCTTAGAAAGAAAGGAAGTTTCTGTCTATCATGTTCCTCGTTCAATGTTTATCATTCCAAATTATATTACATAGGAGAGACTATTCTTTTTCCCCTCAATTAGTTGTAGCTTTTGTTGTTTATAATCATTTTGAATGGATGAAAAGTTTAGCTTACTTGATGTTCTTTTTGCCTTCAGAAAGCATTTGTGATTCATTGGGTGCTACTAGATCGGTACTCCTCAGTTGATGAGGCCTATAATGATGGAATGAAACGTTTGCAGGTTTTAGTGTCTAAAATTCAAAATATTGATCCGTGAGTAAACTGCCTTTTAACTTAGTTATTTTCTGAGATTTGTCCTTCCTATTGGTTTCAATGAGTGGTCACCTTTAGCTCATTTCATTTGATCGTCAATTGTTAGCCCAAGGCTATCTGCAGGTTCTATAGAATTACATACTCATCATTTTGGTTCTTCATTGAAGAACTCAAGCATGACAAGTGAAGCATACAAGAAAGCAGTAGTACAGGCAAAAGAACATATCCTATCAGGGGATATTTTTCAGATTGTTTTAAGTCAACGATTTGAACGCCGAACATTTGCAGACCCATTTGAAATATACAGGGCATTGAGAGTTGTGAATCCAAGTCCATATATGGCTTATTTACAGGTATGTCTGCTTCTTTGTAACTTTGCTTCACTTGCAAGTGTCTTAATGTTGCCTGGATATGGCTTGATACAGTATGGGGTATGAAACTTACACTAAAAATTAAAGCATCTGACATGATACAATACCCTTGTACGGGTATCTGGGTATCATAGCTTATGACAAGTTTTGCTATTTATAACTGATTTTGATCTTATATTTTTGTACTATTCAGGCTAGAGGATGTATCTTGGTTGCTTCAAGCCCTGAAATTCTTACTCGTGTGAAGCAGGTATAACCAGCAATAACCAATTGTGACCAAGGTTTTTTAACTGAGTTTCTACTTGTCCAGCTCAAATCCCCTCTCTCAAGATAAATAACCTAACGTGGTTATGGATGTTTTTAATGATCAGTTATTTTTATTGCAAGTTATTATTTGCATTTGGTTCTATGAAAATGAATTAATTTTCTTGGTTGGTAACTGCCCACTTTATTAATTAGTGGTAAAAAATGTCGGATATGCATATTGCATAAGGGGTATGCTCCAAGCAACCAATTTGTCCCTCAATAGCCTCTGCTACCTTATCCATTACGACCCATTAGTCATTATACAATACAAGAGAACAGGTTCCCTGGTAATTACCCCCGATATAATTGGTCCTTGACTCCTTGTTCACCCTTGCTTGGCCAAAGGATCTACCAAACCATTTGCTGATATTTGTGTCTACTGAAACTTTGCTCTACATTCATGTACCAGCTATGTTCTATCAAAGTGAGCATATACTGCCATGGACCTTAGTTGTTGTTTCTTTGCCAACCCATGATAACATGAGTCACCTTTCACCATAATGTCTATGAAACAGAATTAATTGCTCATGATTTTACCTAAATCTTTCATATTGTGTATTTTTAGGAGTTTGAAGTTTGAACTCCAACATTAATATTCAAGATGATCCTCGGTTATATGTTTCTATTTCTATCTTGCTTTGAGATGATTGGCATGTGGAGAGGCTTTCCATGTTCATAGTGTTAACATCTTCCTTAACTTTCAAAATAGAGTCTTTTGATGTTTGTAGTTTTGACCTCTTCCTGAACACTCAGCAACCAAGATGCACATTATTCTGTTGTTTTTGGCAGAGGAAGATTACAAATCGACCACTTGCCGGAACTGTTAGAAGAGGGAGGACAAACAAGGAGGATGAGATTTTGGAAGAACAGCTACTAAATGATGAAAAGCAATGTGCAGAGCACATTATGCTAGTTGATTTGGGAAGGAATGATGTTGGAAAGGTTTAGTCTCTCCCTATCAAGCATTCCAATGAAACATTATTGTATAGGTTAAATAATCAAGGCTCCAAGTGCATAATTCACTCACCAATTTGGATGTATTTCCTTGTTATTTTAGCTACACGTATTTTCAGCATTGGTAGAAAGTGACGTTTTACGTATAGTATTATGGGTCTCTTATGCAGTAGCATATCTATATTTCTGTCGTTCAATCATTGAGGGGGTAAGCTGTTTCTCAAAGAAGTAAGATATTTTATTCATGTATAAAATCAACACAAAGATTACATCAGCACCAATGTACACCAAGGTACCGTACAATGGGAATACACAAAAGGATTAACTGTTTGTGAAGAGGTTTTCAACATAAAAATAAAAAGCTATACTGGAAGCGATTGTGTACAGCCAGCCACAAAGAGTACCCTTGATTTTCCTTAATAATAAAATTTCCTCAGAACTGACTTTTTTTTTTGAAAAATTTGTGGATTTCTTTCATTACATATATACCAAATAACTGTGAATAGAATCATATCCCAAAATTTCCTCAGAATTGATGCCAAAAGCTTGCTCCTTGAGGGGGCAAGCTTTGAAGAGTCAGCTTCTGTTTCTCTTATTTATGCTCTCGTTTTCTTATCCAGCTTTAGATAATATAAAAAAAGGATATATTTTCAAGTCTCAAACCCAATTAACAGTTGGATCATGAGTGGGCCTGGCTTAAAAGTCATTGGGAAACCAAGGAACTCAAATGTTGGCTTTGAAAGAGAATCATTTTTAACTCAAGACTCATACTTCAAATATTCATCCTTTGGAGCAGAATTGATGCCAAATGCTGTTTCTTTTTATGGTTTAATTTTGAAGAATGGGTAGTAGGGCCATGAACCAAATGAACTAGACTAATATTTGGATACACAACATAATTACAAGAAGATAACCATGGTTGATTACAATTATGCTGTTATTGTCAAACAAGCAGATGAATAAGTTCATAGAAAGCTATTAAGCTAATATATGAGGATGGCCTAGGTAATTCACCTAAATGACAAACTAAGTAGCAAAAGTAGCTGCCCCAGTGCAAAGGCCAGGAACTTGGTATAGCTACCATTCTCAAAAAAAACACCAGGAATTTGTTTTATATCTTTACATGCTTCCTTGATATGAACACTGTTATTAGATGCATTTTTATTTCTGATGTTGTAACTGTATAAGCAGGAGCATTTACATATTCCATTCTGTATTCTTAGAACTTTTTGTCCATGAATTATTATAGATTACTTAAGAGATATTTGTTTTTGAAAAAGACTGTTGCTGCAGGTATCCAAATTTGGTTCTGTGAAGGTAGAGAAGCTTATGAATATTGAGCGGTACTCTCATGTAATGCATATTAGCTCCACGGTAAGAAACTTCAGTTGCACTTTCTGAGATTTGGTGGAGATTATAACCCATGTACCTGAACACAGCGAGAACAGGGCTGGATATGGATATCAGATCATCATCATCATCATCCATGCCTTATCCCAACTATATGGGGTTCGGCTACATGAATCCTGAATCTTAGATACTACACTAAAAGTTGAAGTATCAAATATGATACGGCACCCTTGTACTGGTATAGTGGTATCTGAGTATCATAGCTTATAAATTGAACATAATAGAAAGAGAAAAACATAACACGAAAGTTAAATGCATAATCTAATTCATCTCATCTCCGGTGACGTTACACATGGATATGAACTGTGTAGATATAGACTTCAATTTTCAGACAAGTTAATTCTGCTCATATTTTAACAATGGATATTGGCCATAATTTAATGATGTTGACTTTAGACGAGTTATTCTCTTTGCAGGTTACAGGTGAATTGCTTGATGATCTCACTTGCTGGGATGCTCTGCGTGCTGCATTGCCTGTTGGAACAGTTAGTGGTGCACCCAAGGTTTGCAGTAACTTGCCTATTTGTTGTCATTCATGTTTACCTAGCCTACCAATAATGGGTATTTCTTGGTCCTTTCTGGAACTTGGCTTAGTTGATTTGGTTTGGCCAGGCTCTCACATGCATACTTGATTTCACAAGAATAATCGATAAAACTAAAAGTAGATGGGTGCTGGAATACTTCATGCATGCCTTGTTCCTTGCTGAATGTGTAGGCGGATTGCAACTCCATTTTCATGGTCCCACTTAATCTAGTAAAAGAATAAAATAAAACAAGACAAACTAAAATATAACATAAGACAACGATGTTTTTTTTTTTCTTCTAAAGATAAAAGAGGTATTGGCAAACTTCCCAAAATAGATTATTACAAGTTTGGTGGTTAAGATCATGTTATGAGAAAGCAGTTGCCTTGGGAGATTCAGTAGGCAGAGATATCAAGTGAGAGGTTCCAACCACTGTTTGGTATGCATGTCATGGCCCTTCTTAAGTTGTTTTGAGTATGGAATTAGAAGACTGGTTCTGGCTGACTATATAAATACTAAGCCATTATTGCTTCTGCCAGTTGTTAAAGGCAACTATTGAAGTATGGAGTTTTGTTCTTTGTGCATATTGTGTGTTTCTAGTATGTATTGTGAGTATGCGTATATGCATATTTTTATATATGTGTGTATAATAATACACTATGCACATCTATGTTCCTATACTAGGGAACTTTAGTTCTTTATTCTCAATGGAAACTCTAACTCAAACCAGGTCAAAGCAATGGAGCTGATAGATCAGCTTGAGGTCAAGAGGCGAGGGCCATACAGTGGTGGATTTGGAGGCATTTGTTTTTCTGGTGACATGGACATTGCTCTGGCTTTGAGAACCATGGTCTTCCCCACTGGGGCTCGTTATGATACCATGTACTCATACAAGGATTCGAACAAGCGACGGGAGTGGGTGGCCCACCTTCAAGCTGGAGCTGGGATTGTGGCTGACAGTAACCCAGATGATGAACAAAGGGAATGCGAGAACAAAGCTGCTGCTCTTGCTCGTGCCATCGATCTTGCTGAGTCAACATTCATTGAGAAATGAATGGGTTGTACATTAACTTTTTTTTTTCCTTGTAGGTTTATAAGATCTAGCTGCATTTTAGTGCGAGCATTTTCGGGGAGGGGTTTTGCTTTAAAGAGTTCAAGATGTAACAATGTATTAAAGATGTAATTGCCTGGGGTCAAATGGGCATTCCTGGTTGGCCAATGGATATACTTAAATTTTTTTTGAGACTTTTAGTTGCAGAAATCTCTTAATAACACCAGTTGTGGACATCAGAGGGATTTACTTTGTGGAGATACAAGAGTTTCAGATCCAGGCTGATGTTTAGGCGTTTTAGGATTGTGATCTGTGGAAAGAAGTTCTAAGACCCATCCCCAAGTATTTGATTTAAATGGTAAAATTTTAACAATTTTATGCTCAAACCCTTTAATTGAATCAATCAAAACCAGTACGATAACTCCTGGTGTAAGGGGGAGGAAGCTGTTCCCGTAAATGTTTTTTTGAGGTTCCTTTTCTCTTTTGACAAAAAAAAAAAGGAATCAATTAATTTGTGTACAAAGTTGCATCGTACAATAATGTTCTTATTTTTACATCCAAAGAAAAGCGAATCGGAACTATAATTACTTGATAAACCAAAATCATCTGCGACCCACCAAAATAATGCTCCTCTATTCAATTCTAGGACTGACAATATGCCTATTACAGAGGTCAACTTTTTGAGCCTCACCTGCTTAGCTGGTAGGCTTTGCTGCCATCCAACTGAGGTAACATCATCAGGCACCCTGTATATGTTCAGAAATTACACTATGGTTTGAGATTAATCCGCCTATGGTTTTCTCTCAAGTCTCAAGTCTCGACATGTTATTTTGCATATTCACACATCTTCGACTGTAAATTTCTCCTGCCTGTCTGAAGCAGCTTTGCTGCCCATCCATCTCATGGAGCTTATTCAAGCACTGTATATGTCTTCACATATTATACAATGATCTGAGATCAATCTTCCAATGATGCTCCCTTCTTCGATTCTTAATCTTCTACTCATCCTGTTCCAGAGGTGGACTCCATAAGTCTCTCCACTCAATTGATGCAGCTTTGCTGATATCCATCTCGACATTGCTGGATTTTGTGGTCGCTGAAAAAACCCATCTATCTTATTCCAAGCCACTGGATAGAAGGCCATTGGTGGCAAGACTGTGAAGTTATACCCAGGCATTTTCTCCACCCTCTGTGTCACCCTTGAAACCAGATATGGCCCATTGTATCCCCATTTGTTTCCATTAAAAGTGATGGAGAATTCCTCCATGAAATTTAAAAGAAGTGGGTGATTCTTATCAAACACCAGAACAGCATTATTAAGCCGGGTCCAGCTCCCGGTCTCTGCATCCATACTCTGTGCTCCAATTGAGTTCCTCAAACCTGAAAACTTCTTCAGGATTATGAAGTCTGTGTCCATGTAAACACCCCCATACTTGTACAAAACTGCAAGCCTGAGCAGATTAGATAGATTTTGGGCTAATGGAATTTCACCAGGATCCTTGTTCCCTTTCTTGATCTCATCAAACCAGGTAATAGCTGCTGTGTTCTCAAAGAGATATGGCAAATCTGGTGTGACCGCGAGAACTTTGAAACCACGATCGTGCAGCGGTTTCAGGATATGGCCTCCATGTCTAGAATCCATAGTTGCAGATAGAATCATCAAGCATCCATGAGGGTGGGCTTTGAAGAGGCTCTCTAAGGCAAAGAATTCTCTTCGACGGAAGGTTCTTGCAGGCGAAATCCACGTCATGAAGAACTTCATCTCACACCGGCTTTGGAAGAACTTCCCGGCTCGCCTGGCAAACTGCCGGGCCAAAGCGGTTGGCCGTAATATCTCGAATTCCAGCGGCTTTCTATGAAACCGTGCTATTCCTTGCTGCTCGGTGACATTGATCGAAGGAGGAGGGTCTTTGATACAAGCCTCCTCTACTTCCCGTTTCACAGAAAGCAGCGATAGAGGTGAAGAAATTGACTTGAATTGCCGGTGAGCTTTGTGGGAAGGAAACACAAGGGTGGTGTCTCGTTTGTGTCTTGATGCAGCATCATGGAGGAAGAGATTGCAGAGAGTACTGCCAGCAAAGAGAGCAACAAAGAGGAGAGCGGCAAATGAGATGGTAGAGAAGATGGAGAATTTCATGTTACCAAGCCGCCATGAATTGAACCTATTCCTTGTTAGATTTTGCACACTGTTACGCGAGAACTCAAAAGACCAAAACGATATAAGCAAGAAGCAGAGCTTGGGCGGAGCGTTCATGGCAGGGAGAGGAGTGAGAGAAGGAAAGACTAAACGAAATATCGGAATTTGGACTGCAACTCTGGAAGGTTTCACTTGTAATTTAGTCCATGTGGGCGGCTAGCCCTCGCCCCTCAGGCGAGTTGAGAGAGAAAACTGGAGTTTGGAGTGGAACTTCAAACTTGAAAATTTCCAACTTCCATTATGTTTCGTGACTTGGTAGTTAACTTCTGGATTTACACTTTTATTTCCCGCGGCAGACTGTAACTGTTTGGTCGGTTTAACACCTTTTCCGGGTCGTCGAACCATTCCAAGTCTACATTCTAGACCAGTATAAACGGATAATCTGTTCTGCAATTTGTTCGTAAATGATAAGCCAGGTGGCAATAGTTAGCAACTGTTAAGGGCGACGTGGACAGCGAGCGAGCGTGATGGTGATAGCTGCGAGTCTGCTCTGCAGCTGCCGCCACCGCAGCGTGGCCGGATCAGGCGACTCAGGACGCAGGAAACAGCTCATCCTGAGCTCCCACTCCCACTGAGGTTTCTAATTCTATGGTGGTAAATGTAGTAAATTAATCACCAGATTCTTCCTTATTTAAGAAAAAAGGATAGGAGTTCTGAGATGCAGTTTTTCAGTACACCGGGGTCTAAAGTAAAATGGGAGGTTAATGATTTGGAAGCGGTTGGATGGACACTGACACAGCAGATAGCAGAAGGCCAAGGCCGGACTACAAAGCTTGTCCCATTATTACCTCAAGAGAAGAGTCAAGACTGGAAACATCATGGGTCCAGTCCAGTTGTGCTGGCCTACTGGCCCTCTCCATTATCCAACATTAGCAAATTGAAAAATCCTTTGGCAACCCTAAATAGTAAATACCCTCCTCAATTAATCTGGCTAGCACCGCCTCCGCCCGCCATGGCCCATTGCAAATGGCGTCGAGATGACGCTCAAATAGCTCTGCACAGAGAAACCTAACATCCCCCGGCCAGTTGTCGATCGGTCCACTGTCTGTAGGCAAAGCACGGGTCCTCCAACATCAATCGGTCAGGGAATGAGACTTGGGACCTGGGTTAGTGAGAAGTTTTATCCACACATCTGTGTACGTGGAGAGAGCTTCTCCCGTGTATTTTGTCATATTCTGTCAGATGTATGTCAGTCTCTTTCTTTAGAGTTTAGACTTTAGACAATTCATGTGCCTCAATCTGATGAAACACTAGATAAGGTTTCCTTTACAGTTGATAGTACTTAGTACTCCACCTTTTCAATCAGTTCTGTTTAGAAGGAAAACCAAGTTTGATCAATTTGGACTTTGTAGGAAACAACCTGCTTTACGCTTAGGCTTGTAGGCTTAATTACAAAATCATTATATCAGAATTCTGATGCTAATTAAAATCTTGGGTTTCTCTTTTTTGGAACCAAGATCAATGGTTAATTATTAGCCTAATTAACAAGGAAGACGCATGGGCTTTTCCTGATAAAGGTGGGGAAGGTGGTCCAAAAAGCTTCTACTATATAGTTTGCTGTCCTCTCCCCTTTCTCATTAGAATAATTTTGATCCAAATAGTCGCATGCCCTGTAGTTGTAGTTTAAGGACCTCTTTGGTGATTGTTTTAAGCCGTATTCGGTTTGGTAGAAATGAAACTGATAGAAGAAAACATAGCGTTAGTTTTTCTTTTTATTTTCCTATCAAACAAAACATAGCATTACTTTAAACTTTAAACTTTCTAAAGCAATTCGACAATTTGGACTCATACCATATATTTATTCACCATTTATAGCAATGATGACGATGGATGAAATGGTAGGGTCCATATATTCTCTTTGTCATCACCCTCTTTTCATTGATAATCTCTTGCCACGTGGCAAGAAAGAATCTTTTTCTTTTTTATTATGATTTTATATAAAAAACTTAAAAGTAATTATTATTTAGATGTGGGGTTTGAGGCTGATGTGGACACCACTAAGCAAAAGGCCAAAAGCACGTTAATCGAATCGAAGGGACCACGCCACTCACCAGGTTGATAATGGTTTGGCTTTTCGGTCGGGGTTCACCTTTTACATATCGTAAATAATAGAAAGATTGAATAAAACATCACACAATAATGCCTAGAGCCCGCAGGCATAAATTAGCTTTTCTTTTTTTCTTTTTCTCTTTTTCCTTTCCTTTGATGATCACACTAAAAGCAATTATAGAACCTGTACCGAATACCAAACTAAATTTTTATCTGAGTGTTTGGTATCGTCGTGTTGTGTGAATATAAACATTTTTATATTTTTGGTAGGTTGATTGAATATTACCTTTTTATATTTTTTTGGGTAAATTATAAAGACCCCTGTACTATCGTGTCACTGATAAATATTTTCTGAATTTTTGTTTGCGACAAAATCCCATAAATTTTTACTTTGCCATAAATACCCCTTTTATTCCAGTTTTGTTTGTTAATTTCAAAAAAAAAAAAAATTCATTCAGCTGTTTATTTTTTTTTTTAATTCCCAACCTATCATTTTCTTATTTATTTGAACGATTTATGATTTGATTAATTTTCTTAATATAACATTGAAGCCATTTTCTCCTTCTCCTTGCTCCAATTTGACCTGTTCATGGGCCAGGCTTTTACTCTTTATTAACATAAATTTTTCAGGCCCGAGTCCAAGTCCGGCCCAACCAATGGGCTTAAAACTTGGGCCGAACCCGGCCCTCATAAAAAGCCTGAAGCCTGGGCCCGAGCCCAAAGCCCGACCTGGGAGTCTGAGTGCCAGTGCCCTCTGAGGATTGACAGAATGGTGCCTGCTAAGTTTGTCGATTCCTAGGAGTCTGAGAGTGAGAATAAAAACTGAGAAAGTGAGAAGATAGAAGATGACAATAGTGCCGGCTAGAGAGAGAGAGAGAGAGAGAGAGAGAGAGAGAGAGAGAGCTCATTGCTCGAGAGAGAGACGATTTAGATCTGGTGGCGCCAGCCGCCGGTGCCTGAGTTTGTAGAATGAAAACGGTGCGCCTAGGTTCTAGTGGCATCGGCTAGAGAGAGAACTAAAAGATAGAAGACCTAGTTCTAAGAAGAGAGAGAACTGAGAATGATAAGAAAGAAGATGAAAATGGTGCCGACTGGAGAGAGAGAGAGAGAGAGAGAGAGAGAGAGAGAGAGAGATGACTAGTTCTGGTGGCGCTAGCTGCCGGTGCTTGAGTTCGCAGGTGCAGCTAGGTTCGCCGGTTCTGAGAGTTGAGAGGGAGAAATGGGAGCCGCTTTTGAGAGTGAGAGTGAGAAAGGATAATGAAAAGAAAAGTATTTAGGGTTAGGGTTAGGCAGTTTAGGAAAAGTTGGGCCAGGCCGGGCTGGGCTCTGGTCGGGTTTTTTAAACAAATCCCGAGCCTGGCCTGTAAAATAGTCGGGCTCGGGCTTTTAGGCCTGAGGTCAATCCCGCGGGCTAAAACACATGCTCAAGCCCGTTCGGGGGCCGGGCTGGCCCATCGGACTACCCGACCCATGAACAAGTCTAGCTCCAATAGATCCTTGCAAATTTTTCGTTGGATTCAAATTTAAATGAAATGGTAGAGTTTCTTTCCTAATAGGTATAAGTTTATGGTTTTGTTTATTTTTTCTTGATTTATTGGAGAAAGGAGTTGATAATTTTTATGTTTTAAGATGATGAGAGACATTCATGAAAATGAAATGAATAAAAAATTAATTTTTTTTTCTATGCCATTGAAATGATTCTTGTTATTATAACTAATTTCATTTGGAGAAATGGAGGTATTTTTGATCAAATAGGATTTAAGAAAAAGGGCAAGAAAAATAAAATAAGGAAAATTTAGGTGGTCATTTTGATAATTTAACACATTCCATCATCTCACTAGGGGTATTTGTTACAAAGTGAAAGAGTTCAAGGGGTCTATTGCAAATAAAAATTTATGGGACATTTATCTATCACTAACCCCATAGTGCAAGCGAGTCTTTTTAATTTGTCCTACTTTTTTTTTTCTTTTACTTTGGATTATATGATATTCATTTTTAGAGTGTTGGGACTCGGGAGTGGCACATCGAATAATACAATTCTATACACACATGGAAAGAAAGAAAATGAAAATAACAAAATCCAAAGAAAGATAAGAGAGAATACCAAATTTAACATGATTCAACCAAAATATTTGTCAACAAATAGCACCATAGAACTCTTCACTATAAATTATGGGGTACTCTTTTGTATTGGGATTAGTGACAATTACCTCTTAAACTTATTTGTGATAAAGATCCTCCTGAACTTTCACTTTAGGACAAATAACCCCTTCATTAGAGTTCCATCAGTTAATTTTGAAAAAGATTGTCATTTATTGTTTAAATTTGTTTTAAATCCTAAATTACCTTTTTCTTATTTATTTGAATAATTTATGATTCAATTAATTTTTTAAATATAATATTGAAGTCCTCTAGGTTGCTCTAATAGATCTTTGTAGATTTTTAATTATATTTAATATTCAAATGAAACAGGGGGGGTTTCTTTATAATAGGTATAACAAGAATCTTTCTCCTCACTTAACACTTAGGCCTCGTTCACTTTTCAGTAAATTACTTACTTGGGTAAATACAGTTATTTGGGTAAGTTTTTCCTGGGAAACACTTACTCGAATAAGTGCATTTACCCATGTTCTTTTATTACTCATGTAAATAAGGAAATGATAATTTTATCCATAAAATTCCATTATTAAAAGGGGCATTTTTGTCCCATTCAAGTGTTGGCAACTTTCCTCCTAGGTGGGAAAGTTATTTACCCACCAGGTAAGTGATACCCAGGAAAATTAACTTTCCCTGGTCCCCACATAAATCTGAAAAAGAACATGGGATTCTTGATCAATAGGAACCAAAATCCCATTGGCCAACTTTCCCCCCTCTCAAAATTCGAAAAAGGAACACCCCTTTAATTCTTTTCTCTTCACTTGAAAACAATTTGAAATCTTAGAATGAGAAACCCAACCAATAGAGAGCGGTTGAGAGTAATTTGACTGCAGTCCTATGGTTGCTTCCATCGACCAATCATTTTCATGGTACAACAGATTACACGGGATTAAACTAAAAGTGAGATTCATCTGTGGTTTATGTGAGTCCGGATCTGCTCCTCACACTGACCTCACAGCATGTCTTGGCCACACATTAGAAACATCTCCCATAATTGTATTTATTATTCATGGGGTGATGTTTCCTATACACAGTGAAATGTGGCTGTGAGGAGTAGATCCCAATTCAGTTTATACACCATGAAAACAAAACTAAAGAGTGGTGGGAATAAGAAAAAGGTCACTAGAAAAGATTGGTATGCTCCGCACAGAGCGTTCCTCACGCCGACCTTACAGCCACATCCCAAACTCTATGAATAAAAAATACATGGTGGGATTGGAAACATCTCTCCATGAATAAAAAATACAAATATGAGAGATATTTCCCAATGTTCGGTGGGATGTGGCTGTAAGGAGTAGATCCAATCATCCAAACTCTACGCGGAGTGTCTTAAGTTAAATAGTTGGAATCTCCTGCCATCAAAACACGTTCCAACACTCTACCAACAAGATTTGACACCGAACATCTCACAATGAGACTAGGACCCACCATACAAGTGAGACCATGAGATATGTGGTGTCAGATCCAGTTGGTAGGGTGTTGGAACATATTCATTGGCAGGTGATTCGGACTCTAAACTAAAGAGTGTTGGACTCGGCTCTCGCACACTTCAACTCTTATATCTTATTGACGTGGTTTGTTTTACTATGAATTCGGATTTATTCCTCACAAAGCGTACTTTATATCATCTTAGTCCAAAAAAAGAGGGGGGAGGAAGAAATTTGGCCCTATAGGTTAAATGGTGGGTACCCTATTTAAGTCCCTCTTTACAAAACAAAAAGAAACAAAATCCAAGTTATTACAGACAGATAAAATTTTATTGTCCACCAAATAATTAGAAAAAACAAGCCCATGGGAAAGACGAACAAAAAGATCCATTTAAAGCCGATCGAGACTGCAATCAAGGAATCCGAAAACACCCACAACACTCATCGCTTCCTGA